TAAGGTGCTTTCGGCTTTGCATGCATGTCTTTAGACATGGTTTCAGCCCAGCATTTGCAGAGGTGCTTTCAGATTTACCCCTCCTACAGTCTGGGCTGTCTGCTGCCTCATACCATGAGTGGCTGTGCTGAACCAGTCGCATTTGCTGAAAAAAATCCAGCATAAGGTGAGCATTTAGCAGGCACCATCCTCTCTGGCATACAGTCTGGTACATGTACAATCAAGTTTATCGCTAATCACTGTTAAAAGAGATGAAATGGCAAACACTGAAACAGCTACATCAAACCACTCTGTTCAATGGCTTGGAGTCAGCAGGTAATTTCAAGGCTGGAGTGTTTTTTAAGTGTCAGAAAAAAAGGAAGAAACAGATATGCAGAGTCAGACAAACTCCCAGGACACATGAAAATTACAAGCATGTAGCCCGGGAGGGACAAGACAGAAATCTATTCAAACAGAGAAACATAAGAAAAATAGCCAGATTCATTGTTTATCTGTGTATCAGGTTCAGCTGAGCTGGGAAAAACTGCAGAGGGAATTTCAACTCTATTTTTAGTATAAATATCCAAATTTGTTGTAATCCTGATGGGTCTACCTTATATATAGTAAAAATTGCCAGAAGCTAAACTATGACAATACAGCCCCTTCTCCATGAAATCTAATGGCTCATGCTCAGGCTCCTGCACTGAATCCTGCACACTTCAATGACCAGCCAGAAAAAGCCACCAGCAGGCCATGCCCTAACCTTAGCTAAAATTAAGGTGCAGCAAATGCCTTCAGTCACAGCTCTGCATGCCAACAAGGGATCACTGTCAGAAACACCCTGATCCAAGGTTTTTATATACTGAAAATTGTAATAACTGCCCAGAAACCAGGCTGATTCCCTATCCTTTAGGATCCCTAAGTGAATAGCAGATGTACACAGCAAGTATTCAGAAAGGACAGCTTTAAGCATTCAGGTGGATATCAAAGTTCACTGTTATTTTAAAAGGGAAAATTTTGTTTCTCAGCTGTATAAGGTTGGGGCAGAGAACCCTCCTCCAGCTTTATGAAAAATTTCAGCTTCGTGCAACTAGCAGACAGGGTCCCACTGTATGGAAATGGTCTGGATACAGTGGGAATGCCATAATCAAGACCTCTTCAGTGTTCACCTAATTTCAACACCCATGTTCAGTCAGGCTTCAGGAGAGGTTCACCTTCCCAAACAGCACTGAGAATTTTTTTGGAGGAAGTTGTAAAAGTTAACATGCCAGTCAAAGCGGCTTACTTTAATTGCATAATTTAATTAGCAGATCAACACTTTGCTACACAATTTTCAGATCGACTTTCATCACGTTTCCTACTCAGTTGCTAACAAAGCCTTTATTAAAAGAAAAAATCCTCAGATTTAATTGGAGTGACCCTTGTCAATATGTGTAGAAGACATCATGTTATACAGCTACTGTTGAATATATTGAGTCCATCTCTGCACTGGAACAGAGTTCAGTTGCTATCTCACTATTCGCAAGGTAAGAAATAGATTTTTTTTAAAAGAAGTGATGTTTCATCATTTGTTTGCATCCTCTTATTTTACTGCATACAGCAAAATATGCCAGTGTCAATATTAAAGACTTAACTAGCTTTTTAGCTGCTGCTGTTCATGAGAACAAATGGATCCAGTTTTAATCTCAAAACTATCACTCACAGCTGCCTACTGAATATAAAACATTTCTGGTGTATGGCACAAAGTAAGCAGCACCATAAATATATGACAGACTCTCTGCAGAGGGTTGGAGTGCATAAACCCCAAGGCCAGCTCCAGGAACAGCCAGTGCCACTTGGCACTCGCTTCAATACCCCTATAATTTCAGGATGAACTTTGAAACACTCAGATACACAAAGCATGGTGACACAGATCGGCGTACCCTACACCTTGGACCCCTCGCTGAGCTCATGCTGGAAGGCTACAAGAGCCCAGTTGCCATCAGCTGCATGAAAAACACTGCAGCCGGCACATCACCGCTTCTTTCCACACAAAAAAGTCACAGGAACTGGTACATGCCCTCCCATTAAACTTAAACAAAACCCCCAAATGGTCCTTGTTCTGTCCTTCTGGAAAAATACTGCCTGTGCAGTATTAATTCTGGGTGACAATTCCACTCCTTGCACAGGGAAACTTCGGTTCCTGCTCCTGACAGACTGGGAGAGCTCTCCCCTCCCCTTCCCTCACAAACCTGATCAAACATGAGCAGCTCTCTAGACAACTCTTTCAATGCACTCAGACAGCCTCAGCAGCTAGCTAGTGCAACACAAATCCTAAAGAGCCCAGAAATTGCCTTTTTCATATATACCATGTGCAGACACGCACACAAGCCAGTTACAGGAGACAGGATGGTTATCAGAATTTCTTTAAAGTTAAATGCTGCTGTTTCAGTTGGGCTGCTCTCTAAGAAAACAGCCAGCATTACTTGACATTCACAAATCGTACGAAGTAATATCTTTATCTGAATACTAATGCAAATTGGACGGGCTTTTTTATATTGATGTCTATTCTGTGGCTGCTGAATAGAGTGACCGCATGCTCAAGGCTGCAAAGGAGTTCACTGACCTCCCTAATCATCTCTGTCATAGCCCCCGAATGACATACACATTCAATCCTGCCTCGCCTCTCTTACTTTCATTCATAAAAAAAAAAAAAAAAAAAAAAAAAAGAGGGAAGGGGGGAAATTTGACATTGTTCTTCCTACAGCAGCCCCGAGAACGGGAGAGAAGAGAAACTCAGCCCAGATGAGGCCCCTGGTGTTTTTAGTTTAGCTTCTATTCAGCAACAGCCCCGCCATCTGCCTCCTTCCTGCCAACAGCCGAACACCTCCCTGCGGAGATGTTAAAACCTGCACCCCCTCCACCTCTGCTAATAGCCAGTATTCATATTAGCAAACATACACATACCTCGAGAATGCCTCCCTTCAATGTGTGTTTTATGTAGCTGAGTATAGGCACAAAGCAGTAGCTGTTATAGCCTTCACAGCCCCGTGTGGAGAATTAGATCACTGGGGAAAAATCCTTCCAAGCCCCTTTATGGAAAATAAGGCCTTAGACTGTAAATGCAAAGCCCAGCGAACAACAACCCTCAGTAATGAGCCAATACCCCATGGCCCATTTGACTAGGAGAAAGAATTTGCTTTTTACTATTCAATTCAAAAAGACTGAAAAAGTAAAATGTGTTTTTACTTGGCACTGAAGGTTTATATTCTTTACAGTTTCTTTTGCACAACCTTTTCCCCCCCAGGTCGGACAGGCAGCGGGTGCCCTCACGGTGGCAGAGCTGGGGAAGCAGCACTGGATTCACACTTCCCCACGCACGTGGAAGTCGGTGGGATGGCCACTGGCACTGAAAATCTGTCTCTCCCCTCACAGTCCCCCATCCACAGGAGATTTCAACAGCTCACAGTGATGGGGCAGCTCCTGAAGACATTGCTAAGGATTAGGGCTGATGGGAACCCTCCTGGTTCAGGGAGGAATCCCATTCCAGGGAGCAGAGCGGGAGTTGACAGTGCCACCTCTGCTTCGGAGAAAGCTGACCGAGAGGTAAGAGAGCTTGTCCCGAGGATTTCCACGGGAGGCCCTGGAAATCCCAACCCATCACACTTCACAAGACATCACTGGAAGGTGTTTCCCTCCGTGTGACCTCCGAGTATGCCACTTGCTACGACTCCAACAGCGTCACAAAGCTTTAACTTGCGAAAGTATCTTAGAGCACGGGAGGGGTTTAGCACCACTTCAGCACATCATCGACCCCAGCTATGGGCTGAAGGTGAGGGTGGAAGCCCAGGGACCACTGAGGCGGCCACTGAGGTTGCTCCTCACCCCCATGGGATCGACTGTGCCTGAACTGACAGCACCAACACGCCCTTCGGGCTAAGCCAGGGAGAGCTGGGGACACTTCGCTTCTGTCACTCGCACCCTGCGGCCAGCACAGGCTGCTCGCCGCCTTCCGCACACCGACCTCATCTGCTCTGACCAAGTCCCCACGATGTTGCCCCATAAATCAATTCTTTTGGCTGTGAAAAATGAGCCAAACGAGTTACACTAAGAATCTGGTGTTTTATTAGGACTTTCTTGAAAACAAACCCAACCCCCTGTGTGATTTATAGCTTTAACCAAAAGGGGTATGAAAGTAATGCCCCCCACCCCCCAGCTTCCACGAAGTCCATTTATTCCCTTGTCACTTTTTTGGCAAACAGGCTTCAAACCCTTTCCTGAACAATGGAAACTTTCTGCGGGTACATGCAAACCGGAGGACAGGGGGCTGCGAGGGGGCTCCCTTCCATTAAAGAGCTTTGAAAAATAAACAGGGACTCAGGTAGCAGCTGAGGCGGATCAGAGAGACACGATGTTTCAAACCCGCCGTACATTACTTGGAAAGAAGAAGGAAAAAAGCAAATCCCAGCTTTTGCCCGACGTGCTAACTTTTTTTCACTTGCAACTGCGGTGCTGCCACTCCAGGGGTGACCGTCACCGGCTCCCCCGAAACGCAGTTCCCTTCTCAGCACAGCCGCTCATTCAGCTGCAACCCGGTGCCTACCCGGAGCTGTGGCAGCACCCATTCTGCTCCCAAAATGAGGATATAAACGACCTTTCCTTACTTTTCCCACCCGAACGCACGCAGTCAGAACATTTCCGATGAGTGCCGAAGATGCGCCGCTACACACGCACGCAAGCATCTTCCCAGCTGTTACCCACGGCGTGCCCCATGCACTGCCTTGCTGGGAGAGGGCTCCTGGCAGACAGGGATCCTCTTAAAAGCACTTTGTCCCTCCTGGGCGCCTGTGGGACTACCCCGAGCCACGGCGACGTGGAACCGCCGCGGCCCCGCGTTCCTAACTCCCGCTCCACAGCCGGCTCCGGCGCTCTCCATCCATCCGCCCCACTCCGCTCGCTCAGGGACGGGGACTCAGCGCCGAACCCGGCCGGGCCGGAGCCGTCCCCGCAGAGCACGTGTGTGCGCGGCCGCGCAGCCTTACCTGCCGGCTGCCCGCCGCTCCTCTCTGCCGCCGCCACCGCCTTGCTGCCTTGCCGCCGCGCCGCCGGCATCCCGCCGACGGCCGCCGCCAGGCACAGGCACCAGACGGAGCCCCAGGCCGCCCGCATGCCTCCGGAGCGGCGCCGGGGCAGCGCGGCCGCCGCCGCACCGCCCGCCTCAGACATCCCCCGGCCGCCGCATGCTGCCGCCGCTCACCGCTCCGCTCCGCCGCCGCGCTGCCGGGAGAGGGAGAGAGGCGCTCAGCGCGGGGAGGAGGACGAGAAAACCCCCCGCCCCTAGTGCCCACACGGAAGAGGAAGAGGAAAAATAATAGTAAAAAGGCGGAAAAAAAGTGGTGGGAGCAGTAAAAAAGTGCAGGGGCCCGGGCGAAGCCGTGCGCCGAGCGGCGGCGGGGCGCCTACCTGCGCAAGCCCCGCGGCCGGCCGCGCACCGCGCATCGAGGGAGGGAGGGAGGGAGCGCGCGCCCGCAGGAGCCGCCGCTGCCGCCCGGCCCGCCCCGCGCCGCTCCGCGCCCGGACCCGGGGCTGCGCGGGGGGGCGGCCGGTGCCCGCCAAGCCCTCGGGGTGGAGCGGCACCCGCTTCCCACAGACGGGAGATTAAAGTTGGCGCGGTGCTGCCATGGTGGATCCTGCGGCGGTCACCGCGCGTCCCCTTCTCGTGGCCCTGGAACAGCGTTTTCTGAAGAGAGGCGGCGGGAAGGGGAATCAGTGGGTTGGGGACAGCTCTGTGCGTGCAGCAGTTCGGTCAGCCCGGGACTTTCCCATGCACCCATTCCCCCTGCATGCCTGCCACCCTGTACCCCGAAGTGAAGCCACCCGCTTGGAGCACCCTGACTTCACTTCCCCACTCCCATAATCGCTGTGTATGGGAATAATGACAGACTCCCCGCCACTCTGCGTGTTCTCCTCTGCCAACTGGAGTAGGTGTTTTAATAAAGTCTGACTGAATGGCTCTAGTCACATTTACAGTTACAGCTGCAATGATCTAGTCACTACCGTCGCAGTTATGGTTCGGGGCATTGTGGTCATCTCAGAGACCCCCGACACGGCCGAGTTGCTGAAGTGACATGCATCAGTTACTGCTGACAGCGAGCTGAGCTGCCTCATACAGAGAAGTCACAGCTCCGCTTTAATCCCACTTGACACAGCCGCTCATTCGCTGAAAATAGACGCAGATATTATCAGAGCTGAAAATGCCCTGCAGAAGGGGCCCAAAAAACCCAACCTGCATACGAGTCAAGGGGAGTTTTTCTGGGTCAGAGGGAAGGCGGGCAGTGCGGAGGTTTGGCTCGCAGCGAGGGCAAACAGCGGGGATCGCTCCTGGCCGCCGTGGAGGGCTCGGCGTTCGCAGTTGTCGCTGCAACCGGGATCTCTCTTGACACCTTTATCAGGCACAGAGACTCTGACATCTCAATACTGTGGCATTGTGTGGGGAAGCATTGAGACGGGGCTGCGGCGAGGAAATCCTACATGTCAGCGGAGACCCTCGCCAGTGACACCGTTGGTTTTAAATGAAAACAATGGAGGGAAAAGCAGACATATAAATAAAATGTGCTTATTTCACCGTCACAGAGAAGGTTTGGCAGCACGTCAAGCTGTACGATGTTTGCTCTCATAACTGCTGTGCTGGAGGTGCCAGAAAATCACTAAAAATTAAAACAACAGCGGCATAATTATAACACTGCACAAGGAGTTGTTGGCGTCATTACTTTGAAGACAGAATTGCGAAAGCAGAGCCAAATTCTGCTCTCAAGCAAAGCCACCAGGGTAAGATTGTTGTTGTAGCATTATTGTTCCTATTGCTACTAAGTGTTAGTATTGCTACTATTAGTACCCCAATTTTCCAAGAGGAGATCAGCAAAGGAGGACCAGGAGCTTTCCTAAGTTCGCAGAAAAAATAAAAATATCCGTGAGAATTCAGTGTGGTTTTTCACTCTGTGGCTGAGTTTTAAAAGTGCCACAGTGATTGTTCCTTTCTGTCAGGTGAGGGAAAACACGCTCATGCTGCTCCTGGAGTAACAGAATGGAAATGGCAGATCTGAACCCCGCGAGTTTTAAGGTTGCTGGGAGATGTAAAGGTCTGCACCATGGATCAAGTTAGCTCAGCCCTTTAATGGTTTTGAACTGGTTTTCATTTGGAAAAAATCCAAGAGGTTATAACATTTGGAAGCCCTTTACAACAGGAAATCAAATGGGTATTGAGATAGTCCTGTACGAAGGACTTCAAGGTTTGCAGTTTTCCCTACAGCAGGATATTTTTAGATTTCCCATTTATTAACCATGCAGAACACTCATGTGATGTTGGGGAGCACAGACCCGATTAAGTACAGATTTTTTGATGCTGCTTTGTCACAGTGGTGGCCACTGTGAGAGAGCCCAGGATGTAGTGCTGTGCAGCAAAAACTGCAGCTCTGGACTGTGTCTCAGCCACTTTCTTACTATTAAAAAAAAAAAAATCCATGTACATAGGCTAGTAAAGCCTGCACAACACAGTTGCATTTATTTCAGCACTGTGATGCCATAAGCCATATATTAGCCCCAAAGTTTTTCTTCCCCCTCAGGCTCGGAGGATGCACCCCCCCTCCATGCAGGGATACTTTCTCTGCCAGCATGTTTGTTCTCCTTTTACCCTTTATAAGAATTCCCTTCCCAGAACTTTATATTTGTTTATCCCCTTAATATCCAAAGCTGTCTGTGATGAAAACAGACAACCCCCTTTCAGCAGCTCAGGGATGGTGAGTGGTTGCCCTTTTTTGAGTGAGTGGCTCCAAGCCTGTCACTGTCACACACCTCCATCTGCCCAGACCCCACTGGGGGCTCAGCCACTGAGACTGGCTGCCCTGGGACAGTTTTCAGAGACCCTTGCTGGCCCTGGGGGCATTTGCATGGCTAAACCCCCTCTCTCCCTCCCTTCATGCCTCTTCAAAGCCCTACCTTAGAGAAAGGCTGTTAATCTCCTTCTATGAAAGTGCAACCTGTTAATAGTCTCAAATTAAGTTACATGAAGGATGCTGTCAAAAAAACTGGATCAAAATTGGTTCCAGGTGTGAATGCTTTAAGCAGTCCCTTCTGCCTCTCTGTCCAGGAGATGGGGACAGGACAGGCTGTCAGATGCTTGTCCCAAAGCCCTTGGGACTGAGCCTCTGGAGAGGCAGGAAGGGAGAGAGGCTTTATTCATGCCAATGTCAGCCTTGATGACATCGCTGTCAGAGAGCCTGTGATCTCTTCCCTTCCCCTGCAGCCCCCCTCCTGCACTGTGCAAAGCTCTCCCCTGCACATCTGAGCTGTCACATGTAGCATGGCAGTCAGAAGGCTCAGGCACCAGTGCTGGCCTCAGCAAGGATCCTGCAAAAATTACACCGGGGTGTGGTGCCCCCATACATCCGATACTCACAGGAGCTGCTTCCTCAACCAGCAGAAAGCAATTCCTGAATCAGTACTGAGTTGGAGCAGAGCACTGAAGTAGGTGAAACTTTAATTCAAATTTTAATATGCTGGCAAGTTTGATCAGAGTCTCGGTCACTTAAGCTGCTGAATCATATCAGGTTAGGTACACACAATAAATATTCCCAAATATTTCTTATCAAAACTGGGTCTTGTTAGCTGACTTGTGAGCCAGACTGAGTGTTGTGGCCTCACAATGCTGTAACAGGCTGTTCCTTCAGCCCAGCCGAATGCTACGAGCTCACATGAAACTGAATTGAAATATTGGTTCAGAGATCAGTATCAGTGTGCATAAGTAGAATCCCAAGCTGTTCACCCTTAGCCTTCAAGGGTTAAATAGCATCAGTGGATGCCAGCACTGGGGTACATTTTCCAGAGCTCATGTCACTAGCCATTTATATCAATAAGGTGCATTGGAACGGCTAAACCACTTTTTATTAGCTAGCCAGCCCTTACAACTGGAGTTCCAGGCTGGTTTATTGAATTTCAAGCTCAAAAGTCATTGTTGCTAAGATTAAGGATCCAAATGATTGTCAGGGCAAACACTGTGAGCAGTCAAGCACCTTGTGAAGGATCTCTCTGTGTGCCGGCACCCTCTGTCAGCTGGTTGCAACAAAATCTTATCCTGCTGTATTTGTTTCCCACTGAACAGCATGGAACAGACAAGGAATAGAGGGCTCTGCAAGGAGTGAGCTGTTTTATCTGAGGTGAAATAAGAAGGAGCAAGTGAACTGGAGAGGCATGCTGGATCTCTTCTTCAAGAGCTGCATATGGGGTGGTGCTGGCAGAGGTAAAATAATTTGTCAGCCTGGAAAGCAAAGCAGGCAATTGGAAAAAGCAGGGAGAAGGAAAGAAAAAAAAAAAAAAAGAAAAAAAAAGAGAGAAAAAACTGGAGCAAGCCTGTGGAGGGTGTGAGAAGCAAGGATTTAAAATTAGACCTTTAAATAATGCTGACTCAGCACAGCAGCTGTGTGTGTGTGTGTGTGTGTGTGTGTGTGTGTGTGTGTGTGTGTGTGCAGCCAGGGCACTGCACCAGGGTCACAAGTGGCTCTCAGAGGTGTCACTGACCATCTGCACGGGCTGGGTGTTTCCTGTCCTTGAAGTAAACCAAGGCAGTGTGCTGGAGCCTGGAGGGGACGAGACAGAGATCACTGCTGCCTGCCAGACCTCTTCATGCCACGGCCACATAGGATATTTCAGGCAAATATGTGCGCAGCAGGGTTGCACTTGTGTGTGCAGCAGGGCACCTCACTTTGAGGGGCATCTGAAATGAATCCACAGCGTATTTAATCCCTTACCAGCCTGTGCAGGCTGGTGCCTGTAAGGAGAAATCACACACTGCCAAGATGAGCTTCTGGGAGTCCAACAGCTGCCCTTGAAGTCTTCTCTCCTGGATGTGGCCAGAGACCACCAAAGGGCACCAGCTGTCTGCTGCTGCCCGTCCCCCCTGACTGCTCACCTGCAGAAGGGGTTACAGAAACTTCCCTTTTCTGCAGCCCTTCAGAGCCCACTCACATTGGACTCCTCCCCAGGTGCTGCCCCACTGAACTGCCTGGTGGCTCTCCTTTCTCCAGGGGTTTTCCTCTGTTCTGCCCCACTCCAAGGTAGGGAAAGGGATGAGCAGTGAGTGGCATGGGAGCTTTCAGAACAAGCAGCTACATCCTAAAATAAATACAAGCTCAGGTTTTCCATCTATAAGGGACTGCAGAATTGTGATCAAT